CCCAGTCCTGCTGGTTCAGCAGGCGCGTGCGCACCGTGGGCTCGAGGTCGATCTCGATGATGCCGCCGGGGGAAGCGACTTCCTCATGGGTTGAGTGTACTGACGTCGCATCCGTCGCCGGGTGGATGCCGTCGGTGGAGAACTCGAGGTCGTGGGGCGCGGCGCTGCTCGACGGCTGGGGCTCGTCGTCGTCGTGATAGCGGCGGGGACGCATGGTTTCCTCGGGCGAGCTGGACCTGTCCGAGGGCGCATGAGCCTGGCGGAGCTGGCTGGGCGTCGAAGGCGCGTGTGCGTGCCGGGCACTGGCATTGGAAGAGTCGCGCGAATGTGAAGCCATGCTGCGCGATAGTGATAGTGATATCGAGGTGCAAGCACCAGCGAATCGGAGGCGAGGTAATAGCCGTACTATGGACGGCGACGCGAGTGCGAGCAGCTTTTCGCAGCAGCAACCATAGCGCTCCCGAGGCAGAACAGACGAGGGAAAAGCATGGACGTCGTGGTGCAGCGTATTTTCCACGCCGGCAGAGGATCCCACCTAGCTTGCTCAGTCCAGCGCCGCCGGCCGTCGAGCAATGCACGTGCGAGGCGCTGCAATGTCATCCAGACCGCCGCCCCACTACTGGTCAGATATGTCTCAAGCCTCACGTCGCGGCTGTGGCTATGTCATCGCACGTCTCTATGGGCCAACGGTGCAGCCCTGCAGTAGCGCCGTTCTCGGAGCTCGAATTTGGAGTCCCGGCGAAAAAGGCCATGGAGTCATCGTGGGCTTCAGTCCGCGCCGACTATTCCCCACACTCCGAGATCCGATACCTCATAAGTAGAGCACATTTAGAGACAGCATTGAATTGATCACTCTTTTTGAACATCCGAAGACGTCCAGTCATCTACCACACACCATGTCGTTCCCTACACTACACGCCCGCGCAGAGGCCAAACCTCTTGAGCACCGTTCGTGGTGAGTACACTAGACCAATCTATGTATATACTTGACTAAGAATGTACCCAGCCTCACTCCCACCACCACCAAGAAGCTGCTCGATGCTGGCTACCCCGTCGTCGTCGAGCGCTCGCCCAAGGACCCCAACTACGCCCGCATCTTCAAGGACGAGGAGTTTGAGCAGGCAGGCGCGACCCTCATCGAGGAAGGCGCATACAAGAATGCGCCCAAGGACGACCGCATCATCATCGGACTGAAGGAGCTACCCGAAGACAAGTTCCCGCTCGAGCACACCTTCGTACACTTTGCGCATTGCTACAAGCAGCAGGGCGGCTGGGAGAACGTTCTCGCTAGGTTCCCCCGCGGTGGAGGCACCCTGTACGACCTCGAGTTCCTGCAGGATGAATCGGGCAGGCGCGTTGCGGCCTTTGGCTACCACGCGGGTTTCGTCGGCGCCGCCCTGGCCATCAAGGTTAGTTGAGCCGACTACTACAATGCCGCCATACTGACAGCTGCTAGACCTGGGCGTGGCAGCTCACCCACCCAAAAGGCGAGCCTCTTCCCGGCCTAGAAACCTTCACCGAAGGACGGGGGTACTACAACAACGAGAGCGAGCTGATCGCCCAGCTCAAGGAAGATGTTGCCGCTGGTGAGAAGGTTGCTGGTCACAAGCCCACCAGTCTGGTACTGGGTGCCCTCGGACGATGTGGCTCCGGTGCTGTCGACCTGCTGGAGAAGATTGGCTGCCCAGAGATCAAGAAGTGGGATCTGGCTGAGACCAAGGAGCGCGACGGCCCCTACCCCGAGATCGTCGAGTCGGACATCTTCGTCAACTGCATCTACCTCTCCAAGCCCATCCCACCCTTTGTCAACAAGGAGAGCCTCCAGTCACCAGGCCGCAGACTCAGTGTCGTCTGCGATGTCTCATGCGACACCACCAACCCACATAACCCCATTCCCATCTACGACATCAACACCACTTTCGACAAGCCCACAGTCGAGGTCCCTGTTGAGGGTGACGGCCCGAGGTTGTCCGTCATCTCCATCGACCACCTGCCGTCTGCGCTACCCCGCGAGTCATCAGAGGCGTTCAGCAATGCTTTGCTGCCCAGCCTCATGGCCCTCAAGGACCGAGCATCTACACCAGTATGGCAAGGCGCAGAGAAGCTGTTCCAGGAGAAGGTCCAGACGCTACCAGGCGGTGTCCCCAAGAAGGAAGTATAGGACTTCTCGCGTGTAGCATTCTCAATGCTGATATGCTGATATGAAGTTACGAAATGAAGAGTAGAAATGAATCACCATATGCATGGCAAGGCCAACAGCATTGCAACTGGCCCTGTCACTTCATTGATGCCCACTGTGCTAATGGAACTTACATTCCTCGAGGTCTTGTCAACTCTGTTACAAGGACTACGACGAGGCTGTTTCTACTCAATGGATCGGTCATATGGTATACAGACCTTCCTACGAGCCTCCACCTGTCAGCAGAGACAATGAAATCCGAGCCATCACTGAAATTGGCTCACCGCAAAGAATAAATGCGTATAAGAACACACCGTCTTCTGTAGTAAGAATCGCCGTAGAGGATGTCTGATTGATGTCATTATTGTAGCTGGGTGCGCTAGTTTCCCGCCTTCGCAGCGCCAATGCGATCCATGCATCATGCACCTGGGGGCACATTAATCACACTACTCGAGTTATCTGAGAAGCCTTGTACCATGTTTTATAGTTCATGTCGTCTTTGTGAAAGTATGTCTTCGTCGATTACCCACGATGGCTCTGTTTGATCGGAGCCTTGGCAAGTAAGACAGCCTGACGCGTCATATGAGGATCAACACGCGAGTAAGACCGGGACGGCCCTCTTCAACAACGTGCTTCTCACGCCGAGACACACTCTATCGACAAATGGCGGCGCGCAAAGAGCGAAATAATGGCAAGTCACCTCTTCAACGTTCGTGTGAGTGCTTGCAATGCGCCGCAGACCGCGTGTAATGTTCGCGCGGCCAACTGTGTCAGAAGCGCTCTCACCGCTGCCCAGAATGTCTGCATTTTCCCCGACGTCAGACGTGACGAACCTCTTATCTCATTCCGAACGATACCTAACCACCAATACAATTGCATGAGAGTGGCTTGCATGTAGACTGGGTCGATCACGACGACAACTTTAAGTGTACAGCGCCTTCCCTCGCGGTCATGCTAGAAGAGCCGACTACCACGGCATGAACATGAACTGCCATCGCGGGATGCACAGCCGAATGGTTTTTCAAACACCCGTCTCTTTTTTTCGAGTTTTGCGACCAATAATTCGAGGGCGGCTGCTTATTTCCTATTTTGAAACATCAGTCTGACTACACCAACACCTTTTGGAACCTAAAAAAAAATTAAACCTAAACACCCGTCTAGGCGTTGCGGCATGTCAGATTGACTCGGCCCTAATCAAGCCACCAAAGGAACGACTTATAACACCGTCTTACCTCATCTTCAAACATCGACCTGTCATCTCATCCATCCACGTTACCTACACCAACCTGGTCTTTCCCAGTATCTCCATCGTTTAACCTCAGTAGCAAGATACGCGCTCGCTTTATTACTATGTGGAATCAGCTTCGCTCCTCCTTCGGCTTCCTAAAACCGCCAGAGTCCATGCATCGATACATGCCTGTCGGCCAGGTGTCCGCAACACGCTCTCGCACCCGTCTCGCAATCATAACGGCATCCTGCATCATCGTCGCTCTCGCTGTCCTCTCAATATCTACTCATCCCCTGGAGAAGGCGAGGCAGTATGGGATACTCAAGTCTAGCGAGGCGTCCATGCATGACCCCATACCCAGCATCGTACATTATGTGCAGATAAAAAAAGACGCAACATCAACCCTGAGATTTCCGTTTTCAAGCTTCCTTACCATGTGCGCCGCAGTCATGTACATTGAACCGACGCAGATCTACATGCATACCGACTTCAACGACTCCGAGATTAGGAATGCCAGCGAGCACGGTGACCGGTGGACCAAGGCAGTCATCAACACCTTCGCAAACATCACCACCTGGAACCGAGTAGATGTGCCCAACTTTGCCGGCCAGAACCAGGATCAAGAAATCTCCGCCATCCAGCACAAGTCAGACTTCATCCGCTGGGAGGCGATCGCGAAAATTGGCGGGATCTATATGGACTGGGATGTTGTACCTCTGCGACCTCTAACGCCCCTGCTCAATGCTGGCTTTGCTTTTATCGGCGGCCGGCATTATGGCGGCGCCCGTGAAGGCGGTGGCATCAACGGCACCATCAACAACGGTGTCTTCTTGACCAAGCCAAACAGCACAATGGCGCGAATCGTCGTGCGCGAGCAACATGCCGGCTTCGACGGTAGATGGGAAGCAAATCTACAGAGCATGACCAGGATCGCCGAGCGTCTCGTCCCAATCCCGAACGAAGTCCTGATACTTGACCGCACCGCTTTTGCCCCCACACACTGGTTTAAAGAGAGCACTGACCCTCTCTTCAAACCCAACGAAGGCAATCCATCGCCTGTTCCCCAGCTCATCAACTCTACCGACCCAATGGAGCTGTACGACAACGCCATTGCAAATAGACGAAGGCGTGCGCAGTGGGAAATGGACTTTTCTTCGACATACATGCTGCATGGATTCGCTATGCATGAGTACTACAAGTACATCAACCCGAGCACTATCTTGAGCAGGACCAGCAACTTTGGAGTCGCGACATACGATATCGTGAGACATATGGTGGACCAGGGTTATATCAGCGGAAACGAAGGAGATGACCGCACCGAATCATGACAGGCACATACTAGTAGTCTTGTGTTGTAGATTTCATTACGTTCCTGTACAATAGACAAGGTCGTGGCCTGTAGCCACCGGATCAAGACCCCTTAGCGAAAGCATTTTAGACTCTTACAACCGATTCATAAGATCTTAAGACGCGTGCTTAAAGAGAGAAGTAAGAATAATGTACCTATAGGTGTAGTAGTAAAGGCTAGACTATAAATAAAGATTCTTTCCGTAGACTTCTCTACACATGTAACAAATCCTAAGCATTATCGTCCTAGACACCTACACAAAAATGCGTATCCGCCCACATATTCCTGCAATCATCGCCGACACCCGGGTTCCATTTGACAAAGTTAGCCAGGGAGATTTTCTGATAGCTAATAATCTGACTGCACGTCACGCCCTTGGCTGCAAAATGGAATTTCTTGCAATTCGTTACCATGCCAGGTTGGGTTGGTCGTGGGGTCTGGACGCCGTTGCCTGCCGACGTAGTCGTGGTTGGGGGTGTAGTAGTAGGAGACCCGACGACGCTCACGCATACGTTGACGTCGGATTGCATGCCGGAACAATCGCTGTCCACGGTGGGGTTCCATTTGACGAAATCGGCCAGGCTGATCTTCTGGTAGCTGATGACTTGGTTGCAGGTGACGCCACGCGCGATCCAGTGGAACTTGTTGCAATTGGTTACCATGCCTGACTGGGTAGGGAGCGGCGTGGAGATGCCGTTGCCCGTTGTTGTAGGCTTGGTGGTCGTAGGCATGGTGGTCGTAGAGGGTGGTGTGGTTGTGGTGACTGGGCGCGTAGTAGGTGTTCCGGGAATACCAACGCAGTAATAGGTGTCTGCCCAAATACCACTGCAGTCTGTGTTGACAGCGGGATTCCACGCTACGAATTCGCCGAGTGTAAAGGTGCCGTATTGCTTCACAATCTTGTCGCAGTTGTCGCCTCGGACGGCAAAGTAGAAACTCGTGCAACTTGAGATCAGGCCATCTTGGGTAGGCGAGGGCTTTGCTGGTCCTGCCGAGGTCGTAGGACGCTGTGTTGTGGTGGCTGGCACGGTTGACGTGGATGGTCTTGTGCTCGGTGTTCCAGGTATGCCAACACAGTAGTAGGTGTCTTTCCAGAGGCCATCGCAACTAGCACCTACAGCGGGGTTCCATGCAACAAAGTCATCGTAGCTGAACGTTCCGTATGACGCAACAATCTTGTTACAGTTGTCGTTGGCGACGGCAAAGTAAAAGCTTGTGCATGATGCAATAAGACCGGGCTGTGTGGGTGCTGGCTTGGGTGCGCTGGTGACAGTGGCGGTAGCGGTTGTAGATATACGCGAGGTGGTGGAAGGAGCGCTCGTAGCACTACTCTTCGCGCTTGTAGGACGAGGCAGTCCGAAATTGACCTCAACGCAATACGCCTGTCCGATATTGATGCCGCTACAGTCTGCTTTGACGCTGGGGTTCTGCGCGAGAAGTGTGAGCAAGATTGTGGATACGTGAGAGTAGCATAACGACTTACGTAGTCAAAGAACTGGTCAAAGGTCAAGCCCCAGTCAGACTGAAAAGCCGCACAGGTACTGAAACCGGTACGGGCTGTATCATAGTAGCTGCAATCCGAGGCGGTATCGGGAGCTACTGGACCGTCTTGACGCCGACCGATATGGCCTTCGCTGTAGTCCCTCTTTCTTCCTGCACCTGGCAGCGCCACTGCAGCGCCGACCAGGAGCAGATCAAAGACGATGGAGTACCGCATTGCTAGACTTGCGCCGAGGGGAGGATTGATGATGTCGTACCAAATGTGTAGACAATGAACAGCATAATATACACCAGCCACCAAACCTATTGATACCTTGAACGCTCAGGCGACTGCACCAGTCCTACGCCTTCGATGTCTAGCGTTATTGGTTTGCATCCTTCAAATCTATTTCGCCGTTTGCAGTCCGTCGACATGAAGCCGGCGGACATTACGCTGACCTTGCGCATATAGCGATGCGCTTGAGGTAAGCGCAAATGCAAAGTCTCATGCAGGGCGGAGTGGGTCGGTTGAAGGTTTTTCGTTGCCAAGTTAATCTACGTATCCTGGGATGCCGCGCCGGCTGCATTCCCAAAGGAGTAAGTCTGTATGCAGGTTTTGTGATGCCAAGTGGCGGCCTGATGAGGCTAGCGCTCGTTTGCTATACCTAGGTACCTAGGTATACATAACCCTGGTCAGACCTCGGGAATCCCGCAAGCTTTCTGGTCGCACGTATACCCACTATCGTACGTGCTTCAGTCTCACATCGCCAACCCGTCTTTCGCGCTTGCACTCGCAAATTACCTGACGCTACGACCTTCACCGCCACCATGCCACCATCAGTCCAGAAGTTTCTAGACGATCTAAACCAACATCCCGTGACCGTGCCCTTCGTCGACGTTCCGAATGACATGCCTTATTGGGGCTTCACTATCTACCGGACATACTACGGCCCTGGATCGGATCAGCGGTGGAGCGAATTGCTCCAGCGAATGACTACTGAAACTAAGCTCGACCTCGAGAGCCAAGACGGGGCTGAAGACGACACGACTAGCACTGCAAAGGCTTGGTCTCTATTCAAACTCGACGCTCGATCAGACTCTACAGTGTTAGATGGCTTGACGCTGGAGCAGGTTCGACAGCTGTACGTGGAGGGAGTTGGAGGCCGGCCGATGAACGCAGCCGACAACCCGTTTCGAGTCTTCTTCTTGGCTGACGCTGAGGCGCTAGTGGGCTCCGATTTTGATAGTGCTCTGATCAAGGTCGTGGCAGCAGAGTACGATGCCGCTGCTTGTGTACCTGTGAACTGGAAATTTGGTCCGCAGCGTTATTTTGGATGGATGAGGATGCCAGTGCGGTGTGTACTGGCTCTATGGTTCACGCTAGAGCACAAATTTCTTCAAGAAATTGTCGATTCCACTGCCGGTGGCCCGGGCGCATTATGGGACCGCCCGCTGTGATGAGGCGGAAGAATACAGGGCTACACATTCATAGGGAGGAATCAGTTGGGAAACAATTCAAAATCGACTGTATGCTAGTATTTCACGATGTTATATTCTGCAATACAATGACTATGTTAAGATTCTGTCTTGGTATTGGCATTCCTACTTGGTACGTTGAGAAGGACAAACGTGACGATATTCACATTCCCGCAGCAGTCATGCGACCGCCTAGAACATGTGGTCAGTCTTAATATACAAAGTCGGCAGTGCTGCCTGCAAGCTGCTCAGAGCGTCAAGTATCTGCTGAGCCTCTGCACCCGTTCTGACTCCCCAATGTTTCCGCAACTTGGTGATAGTATCCATGCACCAGTTCTTGGTATGGCCGACGAGCTTCTCGAAGAAATCTATAATCCACTCCGACCAATAATCACCAATCGTTGTCAGATCGTTCGGATTGTTTGCGTTGTGAATTTGCTGGGAGTGTCGCCATTGAGCGCCCGCGTTGTTGACAATTTGCGTCAGGCGGTAGTTGACATTCGGGTCACCCTCGTAGTTGAGGTAGCGGATCGTCGCTATTGCTGCCTTGATTCTCCTCAAGATTTTCTGGGCGCCGACCACGCCGTTATCTAATTCAGTCTTCACATTGGTGTCACTCATGGCATCGTGGAGCTGCATCAGCTGTTGACACACGAATAAGTCAGCTTTCGTGCAGGAAGATCGACAACAACTCGCCATCAAGACAGTAAGGCTGACTCCACTTACATTGGTTTTCACATCATGGATCTCTTCGGACAGCAACACAAAATACGCCCGATTCTCTTTGCTTCCAATACATTCCATGACGCGAGCGTACGTATGCTGAAAATAGGGGTCCGTGGAAGAGCCAGCGTCTCCTGGTAGGGGTGGTGCACCTAGTAGGACGGGTGCTGTCTCTGCTTGGACGAAATAGGATACTGCCACCCGTCCAGTGACCGCCGTAGCGCCGCTTCGAAGCCTGGCAAAACAAAGGTGAGCTGACATCTCGTGTGGTAAAACGCATCAGGTACTTACACCCCATTGGAAGCGTCTCTCATGAATCGAGCGATGAGCTGGCCATCAAATGGATGCTCCACTGATTTATTGTAAGCCAATGCACGTCATACTCCTCAAGATATCGGAGACATACTCTCAACTCTTCGGGACTGTGTCGGCAGGCTGATGCGGTGTATACGCGGATTTCCACAGTCATCAACATCTTCAAATTCGATAACCTCGTCCATGATTGGCTCGGTGGGAGGTAGATCATTGATTTGTAAATACTGCGACGCATTAGTCAATCGCCGAGGGATTAATGAGCGTTATCAAAGACCTACCTCAGGCATAGTTATGGTTATACGATGATTTGGATTGACACCTCCGTTGATCTCAACGCGGTAGTCTCTGGCGCGTCCCACCCTCTTAGCAAGAGTGTGATCGGAGGAATGACTCAATGCATGTCGGTGGACGTAGTGATGATGATGGTGGCGAGATGGAATGGAGCGTGCAAGCCGTGCTGGGCTCGCAGCGTCCTTGTCGTAGGAGGGATCGTAGCATACTAGTGTTTTCGAACCGCCCGCTGCGCGGGAATTCCAATAGTTGAGGCTGCACATGATCTCATATGCAACTTCAATCGGACCTCGTGACTTGTAAATGTCGAGTTCAGTAACGAATTCCCGCAATTTTGGAAATTTCAAGCTGCTGTATGTGGTTCCCATGGCTTTGTTCCAGGCTTCGCTCATCAAATCGTACATTGATGATGATGCTGTTTTGGCAATTAATCCCAACAACAGCTGATGAGTAACGTCGTATGGGGAGTCGAGGTCTCTCTTGATCAGAGAGAGTGAGTCGCGCTTGCCGAACGTCTGAGGAACGCTACATCTTGGATCCTTGATGTACTCTTCGAGGGCATCGCGGTACTCTTCCAGTTTGGGGTTCTCAATTTGAATTGTTTCCGAAATGTTGGGAACGCAGCATAATGCTTTGTATGACCATTCGGCACAGTCACCACCATAGCTCAAGCCGACTCGCACGCGATTGTTGGGGCAACCGCTGAGACACCACCCGTCGGGAGCGCCGGAAGGTATGAAACCGTGGTTGGTGTAGAACTCGCAGTCTGAGAACCTCTCCTTCTTGTCGCTACTGTCGTAACAGTACTTCCGTTCCTCTGGGGGGTCTACAGCTTCAAGCTGGAACTTGTAGTAGGCGTTGCAGACGGCACCTCCCGATCCTCTTGACGCACCGCCAATCATATCGGTCTTCTTGGGGTCTGAGACGGGGCATCCGGACGTCTTATCGCAGTTGGGGGCTTCACCCCATTCGCCCTTGGTATAGAGCTTCATGCTCCTCGTGTCGGTGGTGCAGCAGGCTGCCTGGTAAGTCAAAACCTTCTTGCAGTACTCGTTGTTCCCGCCGACTTCTACGCTCCCGCTGGGGCATTCAGAATCACAGTCACCATTGTTGTGACTATACCATCCGCATGTCGGGCGATTAGAGTCTGACGGGCAACACCAACTGTGAAGTCCGCGTCCACCGCAGCCGGTCTCGTCGATCATGTATTCGTCATCTCTGGCTCCAGGATCACTGCGTTTCACATGCACCCATCCAGACGGGCAACCTTTGCACTGGTTAGTAAACTGATCCGAAGCATAGTAAGCAGATACATACTCTCGCCGCAATTTGACCATTTGCACTGGTCACGAGGAACTTCGAGGTCCTCATACGCGTTGTCAGACCCATCGGTGACGGGCTGTGCAGATATCTTGCGGTTAGCAGCCTTGGCTAGAGCCTTGTGATATTTGGCGTCTTTGGTATCGTGGCTAATGGCCCAGACCATCAATCCTCCCAAGCACAAGGTCTGCGCATACTCCGACTTCATGATTAGAGTTTCTTCATCATCATAGGAAACCCACTGGTTTCCCCACGTGACGACCTTGGTGGCTTCCTTCTTGTACAAGACCGGAGAGATGCCGCGTGCCTCGATGATGTCATCAATCTCAGAGTTCAAGAGAATGCCGACTTCCTTGCTGCAGTCGCCTTTCCGGCCGCCGGACTGGTAGGTGCAACCAGGCTTGTTGCAGGTGGCTGTGGTCATGGTAAATGTGCGTCCGTAGAAAGCCAGTCCCAGAACAACTTGGGACGGGTCGATATCGTTGCGCCAAAGCAGATCAAGGGCCATGTCGATCTCTGTCAGGTTGGTGTGGCTGTTGAGGAAAGCTCCGGTAAACTTGTTGCCTTGATCCCAGGTTCCTACATATTTGATCAGCAGCGATTAGTACGAAGACGTCGAGTTCTTCTCACCGTGTAGATCGTATGACATGATGTTGAACCAGTTCACACTATCAGCCTACCAGAAAGTTAGAATCTCATGTTCAAGAGGTATCAGGCTTCCTCATAAAACGTACCAGGTTGACCAAGTCGAAGTGCTGCAAGTACCAGTAAGACGCTGGAAGCGTAATGGTGAGACCTTTGCTGGAGGCAGATAGCGTCTTCTTGAGCCGAGCCATGAACTTTGGGAAGTTGTCGAAATCGGCTTTCCGACCGGCACGTTCCTCTGATACAGGATACTCCCTATACAAGGGTACGGTCAGCGGTGATCAGTGGAAAGAAAGACAAATCTTACCAGTCCAAGTCAAGACCATCAAATCCATATGTAGACATGAATGATAGTACTGACTCCATGAAGGCCTTCTGTCTCGGCACAGAGGCTGCGAGATCAGAGAACGTGGTAGCTGTTGGGCCGGGATCGTTGAAGGCCCAACCACCGATCGCGATGTAGACTTTCAGGTTAGGGTCTCTCTTCTTCAACAGCGTCAAACGCTTGTAGAGGTTGACATCTTCGGGGGAGGATGGTGCTATCTTGAACGTCTTCGGGTCAATGACAGCGAAAGCAAAGTTGATGTGAGTGTAGACTACAATAGGGATTTGCTCAGGCAAAAACACGTTGCATGACCGAGTGGTAGCCCAGCCCTCATAGTAGCCAACAACACGGGCGTTGCCGTTGTTCTTCGAGCATGTCTTGTGCTTGACTTTCTTGTCACCGCAGAATTGTTCAGTAGTCTGGAGCCATCATTAGTAAAAGATCAGTGAAGTCAAGGTTGCCGTACACCGCAGAACCCATGCTTCGAGCAGCAGACGTTCAATGGGCATTTCTCGCGTTCAGCCCATTCCGACCCATAGCCGGGATCACACTCTGACTTTCGGTCGCAATTTCCCTTGCATGTATCACCGCAGTCTACAACGTTCATCAGAAAGGCACATCTGCTGGTATGTTTCCTGTACTCACAATCTGGACCAAAGCCACACGATCCAAACTCGCTACAGCATCCAATTGCACATGGACCATTGTCGCATCGGTCCTGAGCCAAACCCCAGATAGCAAAGAACAAGACGGTGAAGAGCACTCCGGTAAGACGCATAGTTTCGAATGATGATTCAGTATGACAGTACGTCTTGTGGTAGATCTGGTGACCTCTCTATCGCATTCAAAAGTGTGCCTACAGTCGCACTGTTCATCGCAAAAGCCAAGGCACCCAAATTTGGACAAGCCTCATAGCTTTTCCCGTGGCCTGTCGGTCGCATCCAACGGTGGATAGCCAAGATCACAGCTTTTCTGCATCTTTGCCGTTAATGGAAGAGCGCCACAACAGCCGCGCGACCCTGCAGCGGCTCGGGGCCTTCTAGACAGCTTTGGCAAGGAGAGACGCATTGACCCGTTGTGACTGTACAAGCGGCCCTAAGAAGTGACGTGACGGAGCTTCTGAATTTATCCGTCCTAGATTCCAATCCAGCAGGACGGCAGGAGGATTGCTTCGGGGAGTCTTTTTGCCAGCGGTAGACTGCAGCGGTCAGTGACTAGGACTGGAAGGGTAGCAAAGCCGATGGGCGACTGCTGCAGGGCGTAAATCAGCTTGAGGCTATACCGGTCGCTTCGCGGGCTAACGCAGGAGGAAGCGCAGAAAGAGCCGCATGTCTGAGGGGCAACGGCAAGATTACCTAGGTACATTTGGCCTCGGCCGGTCTGAGCTCGGACCAAAACTGAACTCGGTGCGGGCCGTGACACCGAGGGTTAGTAGGTACTGTATGCAGGGTCTGGCCAATTTGATCGTCTGCGCGGTATAGGAAGGTCAATGTGGAATCTGGTGATGTTGTGCTGGAGGCCTGAAATACGCGCCTTCTGTTTTCGGACGCTAGGAGCTGGTCGGCCCGCTAAAGTTCCTTGAGGTCATGAATCGCGCGGGAACAACAACGGCGTATTCAGTTCACGACGCCAGACATCATTCCATCGAAGAAAGGATCTAACGACTTATCGGATGTGATTGTGTTATCAGCAAGGCAGGAAGCTTGTTGGAATTAGCTAGGTACATGCCCAGGTGGGTTTACTGGGCCCTGGCCACTGCCCATGAGCGCCACAGTTTACCTGCATCTTGGCGCTGTGGAGACGCGCTCGCCTGGGCGACCACTACGATAATTCACTATTGATTCAAATGTTGTTGTTCCTTCCGGGATGTACATTAGCCGCGCCTGGGTATGGGAGAATTCGACTGTCTTGGCGACATGTGCGAGCGAGCCTTTACATCCTTGGCATATGGATAATTTCTGAACCCGTCCGTGATATCGGCAAACCCGCAGGTCAAAAAATTCTAGTAGAAGTTTGGGGGCCAAAGCGCGCAATCCTCGGGGTCAAGGACCTCCCCAGCTGTTTGATAGTGATTGTCAAGACGTACTATTTCCTAAGTACAATTTCCGAGCGCTTGCTCCAGCTCCTCATCCATCAACTTCAGGCATTCGGAATGGTTCGGACAAACCTCCTGTCTGTCGTGACATTGATCAGTCTGAACCTTCGAGGTCAGACTGCCAATGCAGCATTCTCAGTCTATGACGCCAACTCTCTTGATACCAACTTGAGCCCAAGTTGCGTCGAAGCTCTCACCACGCCAATTGATTGCGTATCCTTTGTCCAATCATTCCAACACCTCTCATACCGAACCAATCTCGAGTTGGAACTCACCAACAGCATCTGTACCGACAAATGCTACAGCTCGCTGGTATCATGGTTCAACACTGTCAGCGGTAATTGCGCAGGAAAGACCGTTCGCGGGGCCATACCTACCAAGATGGGAGGGTACATGTGGTCTGGTTACAATGAAACCTGCACTAAAGACCCAAGACCACCTCGCGCATACTGCAACGGTAAGTTCCACCCCCAACTCAAAGTCCTTCCCGGTTAGTTCACTGACAGTATGGTGGTGAAGATGTCATTGCGAACTTCACTCGGGTGCCGGATATCGAGTCCATGCCTCGCGCCGAGCTGTGTCACGCGTGCAATGTCCGTCGCATTGCCATGATGCAGTCAACCCCGTACTCCATGTACAACGAACGCTACAAGAGGGATCTAGAGTACATCTACTCACAGTGCGGCATCAAGGGCCCGACCGAGATCCCCCCACCTCTGGAGACAGTGCAGCCCGTGCCAGCCCCGTACTGCTTGAGCAACAAGCGACACACTACGCAGAAAGGCGACACTTGTGACTCTATAGCCAAGGGTAACAGCGTATCCGCTGCATCGCTATATATGGGCAACCAAGACGTGATCAAGGAGTGCGCAAAGGTCACTGCGGGTGTCAGCGTCTGCATGCCCTTGACATGCCAGACGCATTCGGTACAGGCGGGAGAAACATGTTCTTCCATCGAGCGAGCACTTGGACTTGAGTCGGGAATGGTGCAGCGATACAACTCTTGGATTGACGCCGGGTGCCTAAATCTACAGACCTCCACCGACTTCTACGGCAAGGCCATCTGCGTGTCTCCCCAAGGTGGCGCATTCGTAAACCCCACCACACCTCCCGTGGCTAATCCTACGCCAAAGCCTGTCGACGGATATTCGAAGGCTAAAGTTGCGCCGCCCGAAGGTGCCGTCGTCGCTCAGGGAACGACTCTGGAATGCGGGAAATGGCATGTGGTCGCTGCGGACGATTCATGCGTCAAGATCTGTCTCACCAATGGTATCGATACCATGCTGTTCCACGAAGTGAATCCTTCTTTGGCAGCTGGTGGTGGTTGCGATGCGTCGCTGAAGGAGACGACGGCTCTTTGTACCGGACCGACTTATGTGTGGAAGGAGATGCCCAGTACTTCCACTACTTCCACTGCGTAGTCGCTTCATTGCGATTATCACTTGTCTACCCTCGCTCTATTATAAATAATACTTTCTTGTAGAAAAAGTCTAATAACGTAATTAATTTAATGCGCTTATAAAATAGATACAAATAAATGTTCGTAACTACTAGTTACTATTAGGCTATATATATGTGTATAATCTAATATATTATAGAGATTCGCTTTAAAAATAATAACCTAAATATAGATTAGAGCTTTATATAGTAGCTTTACGTATAGCTTATACTTACGCTAGCTCTTCTCTTACTATTTAGATACTAGAAGTAGATAATTATATTATACGTAATATATTATAGTAGAGTAATATAAAAAAAGAGATATTAAAAAAGTTATAGTTTTTAAAGCTAGATATCTAGATAACTAGACTAGCTAGAACTAAGATTTTAAGTATCTTAAAAAGCTAAGAACTTCTTCTTTAAGTTAGCTTACTAAGATATTTACTTAGTAAGCCTTTAGCGCTAGTTAACTAAAGTAAAAAAAAAATTATAAAAAGAATCTTACTTTAACTAGCTATATCTTTTTAACTAAGCCTAAGATAACTAATTTTATTTTTTTATATTATTTATTATATTTTTATCTATTTTTAGTAATTTTCTTAGAATTTTAGAAGTTCTACTTAAAGAGCCTTTTAAGAGTTAAAAAAAAGTAAAGAAAAAACTTTAACTATATTATATAATTTCTTAATAATATAAATACTTATATCTTATATAGCTTAGATTTTAAATTTTAGCTTTTAACTACTTTAGTTTTAATAAACTTATACTACTTTAAAGTTTAAAATTTTTAAAATATTTAGTTTTAATTTTTAGAAACTTTCTTTTATAAACTAGTAATATATACTTATATAAACTACTTTTATTAGTATACTTTACTTTATATTCTATAATTAGCTTTTTATAGCTACTTTAACTTTATTAACATTTATTAAAATACTAAAAATAGAATATTACTATTTTAAGAGCTAAGCTATAATCTTAAGCAAAAACTATATAATTTTTACTATTAAACTTTTTTTTTCTAAATAAGTATAAGTAAGTTATAAAGCTTTAAAGTTAGAATTTAAAATCTTAATTTAAAAACTACTAAAAATAGCTACTACTTAGATATTTTAGTAGAAAATTAGTAGAACTATAAAAAATCTAGTAAAATTAAAAAACTATACTTTTTTATACTATATAAAAAGATATACTCTAATTTAAAGAGTAACTTTTTAAAGCTAATTTTTAAGGTAGTATTTTATAGCCTAAAAGCTTAGTAAGCTAGTTTACTAAGCTAAAATAAATTAGTTTTATATTTTAACTTTTGTAAAACTAAGAAATATTTAGTCTAGCTACTCTACTTATCTAGATATCTAGCTTTAAAAAAGATAACTTTTCTTATTTCTTTTTTTTTATATTACTCTACTATATATAGATAGAAGCCTAAATTATAGTTATTTTAAGTAAATATATAAAAAAGATAGAGAGTATATTATATTTAGTCTAAATATAATTACGCGTTAGAAATAAAGTAGAATATTCTTTTCTTTATTACTCTACTTATAAGACTATATATACTAAACTTATACTAGATAATAGTATAGATACTAATTAGTAGACTAGAAGTAATTATAACATTAGCTATAAAAAAAAATTATAATATATATTAATATAATTATAAAAGTTAGTATTAAAGCTAGGTATAGTAGTAAGCTAATATAATATATTATATAAGTATCTATTCTATTTACTATTATAAGTCTATTAGTATAGCTTAATACTATACTATATATATACTACTTTATAAAGCTAGTAGAGCGCTACTTACTTATAGCTAGAAAAGATATTACCTACTATATCTAATATAAAGTTAAGCTTATTTTAGATTACTAGCGTATTTACTAACTTAGCTAGCTTTTTATCTAATATACTAAGCTAACTAAACTATTTCTTTATAATTATTATAATATTATAAGAAATAATTATTTAAGTAATATAGTATAGACTTATAATATATAAAGCTATAAGATATCTTCTATTAGTAGTAATTATTTTTATCTACTTCTTACTATTTTTATAAAAGCTTTTTTAGCTTTATTTTTATAGCTATATACTATAAGTCTTTTATTTTAAAATTCTAGAAAATAACTAAAAAGGTAGATAAGCTATACTTATAGCTAGTAAGGTTTATTAAAGTAGTATATTTTATTACACCTTTAGATATTAAAATTTAGATATTTGTAAAAATTAAAGCTTTAATAGTAAGTATAAAAGAAAAGTGTAGTATAGAAAGTTCTTTATATTTAGTAAATATATTACTAGATTAGAAGTATAGAAAAATTAGAAGAGATATAAAATAAAAAGAAGTATTCTCTATATATAAAGCTTTATATAACTCTTTTAGACTACTATTATTTTTACTATAATTTAATTTTATAACTAACTAAAGTTTACTTATATAGTACTATAGTCTAATACTACTTTTACTATAGTTTTCTATCTACTTTTATAGCTAATAGAAAAGCTTTTATTAAATATTATACTATACTTTATACTCTATACTTTACTTTCTACTCTTTCTACTAAGACCTTTCTATTATTACTATAAGTATCTACTTTAGAAAGCTTATTTCTACTTAAACTTTTAAATAAAAGATATTAATAAATATCTATAGCTTCTTAGCTCTTTATTACTATATTTAAGTCTACTTCTAAGTTACTAAAATAGCTTCTATTATTATTACTCTATATAAGTATTTTATAATTATTACTATTATTATAAAAGTATAATACTTATAGTAGATACTATAAAAAGACTTTTTTTTTAAATTCTATAGTTATATATAGTAGGTATTAAGTGTTTAGAAAATATACTTGTAATAAAATTACTATATAAAGTTACTAACTACGTATTACTACGCTACTCTATATTAACACTTAACTATAATATTATATTAGTATTAGATTCTTACTCTAGAAAGTCTAGACTATCTTAGTATTAGCTCTAAATACCTTATACTTACTATTATAGCTTAGTAGTAATTTACCTTTAGTATTAAAATTATATCTTATTATAGTTTAATATAGTAGATCTAGTATTTAACTAACTTTATTATTTAATATCTAAATTACTCTTCTCTATAATAGTTTTATCTATACTATCTAGATATAATTAGCTTAAAAGTAGGTTTTTTTAGTATAAGATAATCTAGTAGTAAGTAAGCTATATTCTTTATATATATAATAGATAATAACTTAAAGAAATAAGCTTTATTATTTTTAGAAGAAGTAATAATACTTATAAAAAATTCTAAAAACTTACTAAAAGTTTTTTTAAAGTATTACTAACTTAGTTTTAATTATATACATAAATAATATACTAATTTCTTTTATTCTAGAGCTAACTTAGCTTTTATAGTCTAATACTATAAAAACTAAAAATAAATAAGCTACTCTAATATTTAGAAAATATATCTATATTAAGATTACTATATAGAGTTACTAACTACGTTTTATTACTCTACTCTATATTAACACTTAACTAAAATAAGCTACTATTACTTATAAACTTAAGAAATTTTATAAGTAGAAAGAATTATAGTATACTTACTAAAATATAGCTTGTTTAAAAAAATTAAAAATTAAAGTACTTATAAGTAACTACTTTACTTTAAATAAAAATATTACTTATAATACTTTATTTTTTATATAAAGATTTAAGTTAATTTTAGAAGCCTTTTATATTAAAAACTTAAAATACTTACTATTTATATAGCTACTTAAGGTATAACTACTAAGTATATTATTATAAAGCTATTTTTTAAAAACTATTTTATACTTTCTTTAAAAGTATATAAAAAAAACCTATTCTTAAAATTTTCTTACTAAAACTACTAACTTTAGTTAGAATACTTACTTTTAAAATAGCTTTTAGTTAAGACTCTCTAGTCTAAGTTAGAATTATCTATCTATATATATTTACTAAACGTAGCTTTAGAGCTCTTAAGTCTACTAAAGCTATAGTAGTTTAGGTATCTACTAAATTAGATAGTACTACTTAGCTAGTACTTTTATAATAGATTTATATCTATATCTATACCTATACTTATATCTATACTTATATACTTACTTTATATACTACTTTATAGACTATATATATATTATATATATTATATTATATTATATATATATATTAATATAATAGATATTATAGTAAAATATTACTGTAATAGATATTATAGTAGAAAATAATTTTAGAGTAGAGTAATAAAACGCAGTCTATTAACTCTATATAGTAATTTTAATAAAAGTTTATTTTCTAAACACCTTATATTTACTATAATATAGTAGTAGCTATATATACTAAATACAGCTTTATATTTAGTTACTTTTCTAGAAATACTATTACTAGTAATATTATAATACTAGTATTATTACTATTTACTACTCTACTATATATATATAAATACCTATACTAATCTAATACTTAATAAATATATCTTACTACGCGCCTTAAAAGTATTACTTAAGTAGTATAAAAGTATATCTCTAGACTATTATATACCTTTATCTTCTTTATAAACTTAGTCTTAGCGCTTTCTAGCTTTTTATATTTTTTATCTACTTCTATATATAAAAAGACTTTAATATAGTCTTTAAGCTTAAGATCTTAGCTTACTATTCTTAAAGTATAATAAAGTATATAATTATACTTTTTAAGTATTTAGCTTATTAGAAAGAATTTTATAGTTTCTAGATCTAGAAGTATTTTTTAAAGTTTTTCTATATCTAGAAAAAGACAAAGAAGTTTAGCTTAGCTAATTCTAATTTAGAGCTAGCTATATAAAACTAATATAGTTTAAAAAACTTTAATATATATTATTAGAAATATAACTTCTCTATTAGATATATAAGTATATAAATATAAATGTGTAAAGAATAGATAGATAATAAGAACTATTCTCTAATAATAGAATATAGCTTTATTAGAACAAAGTAG